ACGTAGCACTAAGTGTACCCTGGTTACATGAAGTGTGACACTTCACACTTCAGGAGTATGACATGTCATACTCCGGGATATTTGGTACAAGGTACCAAGGTCATTCAAAACCAACCATTGGTTAAATGACATTGCATTTCTATAGGTAACTGATAGTTTGTATTAACCACAAACTTAACCTACCTATAAATATACTCAGTTTACAATCTACCTTATTTAGGTCACTTCGCTCTCTTTAATTAAAGAGGGGACCTGTGAACTGCCGTTCACTGAGAGTTTGTATACTCTCGGAAGATAACTTCCTCTAGCGCAAGGTGCTGTGTGACCCCGTCACAAGTATCGTGTGTGGAGATTAGCGCTTGATCTACATCTAAAAAGGGGCTGTCTCGCCGCCCACCGCAATCGCCCACGAGCAAAGCCATCAGAACATGAATCAAAGGTTTGGCTCCACAAATATGCGCTGTCAGATAAAGTTAAAAAGCATCATAATTGTTTAATCTACTACATAAAGTATTATGTATGCGGGCCTACGCTGTCTAATGCCCGCTATCTCGCCTGGTAACCTAGCCTCTGATGACGATCGTGGTCTACTAGTAAACTTTAGCGCTACCAATTATCAATGGTGTTGCGTGGCCTTAAATGAATTATGGAAAGACTGAGTGTCGCTCAAAACAACTGTAGCTGCTCAACGCTGTCGCACTGCCGTACCCGGGTAGCCGCGATTGGTGACCAAACGTTTTCGATTGGGTTGCAGTTCGGTGAACGGGCAGGTCACACCGTGGCGCTGAGTTGCATCTCCTGCAAGAAATGCTTTGTCTCACGAGAAGTGTTGATCGAAGCATTGTATTGTTGGAATATGTAGTCAATTCTGTAGTTAGTATGGGCAAACGGCAACATATACTCAGAAAGAGTGTAGATATAGTCACTCGAGTATTAGCGACCTCGCAAAATAGCGAGCTTGCTCTCACCTTTAGTGCACATCAAATCGTCACACTGTCTCACCGCTCTGTTGTCGAACGTATGACTGCGTTGGCTGGCGTAAATCATATCAGTAGTATTTGTAGCCATCGGGATCATCGAGATTAAAATATTTTTGTCAGAAATAATATTATTTCTTCAAACTCCTTTGTAACACGACAATGTATAAGTAACCGTAATTGTATAAAGACGCTGCAGGTAGCAAGCTTATCAGGATTTATAATGCGTTCCTCTGCCCACGTAAACGTGCACCCTTGTGTGCTGGCGTCAACGGTAGTGCCCTGTTCATCTTAGTGTAATCCAGGGGGGCCGATGCCCATCTGCAGTCATTGAATTGTGCGTACGGAGGCTTTTAACGTTGAGTTTGATCGTGAGCTCAGATGTTTATTAGTCGCCCGTTGCAGCTACCCGAGCAATTTGCCGCACTTCTCAATTGTCCGATAGCACCAACCGCCTTCCTACCTTCGGTAGTTTTCCACAGTCATTGCTGTTTGGATTTCTTTCTGTCTTGATCACCCGCCGCGCCGCTGAGCGTGAGCGGTCAATTCTTCTTGAAATCTCTCATAAAACGACTCCGCCGTCGTGCAGTCCAATGGCCCATTAGAACGTCCTCTTTGTGGCGGCTGATCCGCGGCCCGGTTAAAAATAGCAGCAGCGACAGCCCCACACAGTGCTCTCTTGTTTCAGGCATTGTTTCTCTTAAGTACGAGATTTCTACATTGAAATTTTGAATGCCAGTTCATAGAAATTCATGTTTTGTCCGAATAGGAGCAGGATCCTAAAGTGACTTTTTATGCCCGCCTATCATAAGAAAGAAAACTGCAGTTGTTAACACAAGTAGCGGGTGTCTAGGTCCTACAATAGTGTCATATCTATCTTAACATGACCTAAAATCCTTGAAACTGTGCTCAAAGAGTGGCGGCCCTTTTTTATTTGGCTCACACGGTACACCAATATTTTGTAGGAAAGTGCTCTTCAGTCGGTAGGTCGGAAATTTGTGTACCCTCCGCCTGGATTGGCCAATATTTTACCACAAGGTATTTGAAAGGTGGATTTTCTGCCAGTCAGACCATATTTAGTCTCAGCTGACAAAAAGTTGGTAGAAAATCATTGCTTGAGTTTTAAACTCTCCAAATAATTTAACTATTTTTTTAAGTACAGTAGCTTAATAAATCAAACTCAACTATCAGATACATCAAGATTATGTAGCAGAGCCAGTGTTGTTTTTTGCTCTTCTTCAAAGCCCTTCCATTGCTACACGAGCGCTCGTGTCTTACACCTCTCGTCGTGGTTATCTGATATGGCTGACACAATTAGAACATAGCGTAGAGATAAGGCGTATGATAGGGCGGCCATAGCGGTGTTTATCTTGTCTGCAACGGTGCCAGCGTACTCACCAGCAGCTAAATTTGAAGAATGAAATTAAAATGGTGAATCAGCCTGTATATTTGCATATGCTTTTTGGGGGGCTGTGCGCAAAATGACTTTCTAGTTTTTAAATAAAATACCGTCGACCCCTTATCAACCCAGGCGAGCGTGAGGATGGTGCCATACTTGTACAAGAAAAACTAATTGAGGGTTTAAGTTTAAGGGCCCCTTTGGAACCACAAAAAATCGAAGCACAAAGTAATCGATCTTGCTAAGCGTAAGACAACCTGCCTGATCGCATTTGGCGTCCGTTTTGGCACCGTCAGTACAAAAGTTTAATTTTTTTATTGAAAAAAACATTTTTCAAATAATCAGCGATCCAAACACAAATTTACCAAAATCACATTTCAAAGGACCACGGCGTCTGTCATTTTAAGCATGGCAGACGAAACCTATTAGTGGCTCTCACGGTTGGCAAATTAGCTGGTGCAGTATTTACTATCCAAGCAGATCCACGGAACGTTGTTGGAATGCTAAGAGCATGAATAGTTGGAGGCTCGGGTGGATGCATATATCGAGCGTAGGCAAAAGTTGTCGCGACGATGTACACGGCCAACCCCGCCTCTAGACGTAATCACTGCAGCGCGCCTTAACTTTCCGCAAGTACTATAAAGCCTTGTTTTTGAGACTGGTAGATCTTGCCATCGTGAATGGCTATATTGTACACCGTTTCGATCACGCTGACAAGACGACACGACCGTTGACGCACGTCCAGTACATACGGAAGCTGCATCTCGAGCTCATCCAGCTGAAAGATGAACGAAGGAAAATCATTTGGTGCAGGTAAAGCTCAATTACTCTGTGGTGTATATATAGCTTAGCTAATCTGTATAACCCTTGCTACAGATACACAGCTGTCGTCAGCTTCAGCCGACGCTTCTTTAGGTGCTGCGTATGCAGCAAGTACTGACGCCTTTAACGAGAATGCAGCACTGCGAAACATTTTGCACAGCCGGTCGATGAATGGAGAAATCATTTCGGATAGTCGAAGCGCGTGCAGCGAAACTGCAAGGTGTGCGCACTGCAGCACAAGAAAAAAAACGAGACAGGACGATCACTTACTACTGCGATGCATGCTTTGACGAGCGACGCGTGTATCTGTGCATGAAGCTCAAGAGACAACACGATGGTTAAGTGAGGACATGCCAGGAATATGGCACATCACGTACGCGAATGGCGCGGCGATTCCAGAACACCTACAGGCCAAGATACGGTTGCGCCAGTTCCCAGCAAAGAATTGCCGCGCGTCCTCGGAGGCTTCCAGCAAGTGAACGCTGTGACCGAAGACAATAGTCGATTACAGAAGCTGGTTGCTCACGTAGGGCGACCATGCTTTTATATTTGACGCTACTTTTTTAAACACGTAACAAGAACTGATCAATTGATTGCTTCGTTTTTTCAAATTCTAGAACTAGGTTTTAGTATTGGCTTTCCTTTGATCTCTTTGCGTGCGATCGAGAGTAGAGGAGATGCCTATTTTGTAAGAAACTTGTGTACAAAGTAGTGCAATCAGTGTGCATGGACCTTTTACAAACACCTAATGCAGCTTATGTACGATGAATATATACTGCTCATGAAACATCATATACGGGGCTGCGCACTTTTTATAACACCCACCATTCGTTCCCCATCGTTCCTCATCCATATAATCAACGACGGTATAAACGCTTCACATATTATCCACAGTATATACAGCTTTGATGGTCCAAAATATCGTCCGGTCTGAAGGGGTTAGATCTGGACGCGCTTAACGTGTTCAATCTACTGTCGCGCTCAGTCGTAGCTCCCGGTTCGCGGGTGGAGAATGGGTGGACTACGACTTTTCTGGCGGCGAGCTGCTAAACTACGAGATGATGCTTGCAGCTGCTGCCAAGGCTAAAAAAAGCTGCCAACAAGATGCCTGCTTCTGCTGATAAACGTGCCTGTCATGAAAACTGAGCCTACATGACAAAATTGAGCATCAGCCCGATAGAACCAAGCACTTACTACATAAAGAGAGCGTGAGGGCTGCGAAATTGAGAGCGAACAAAGCCCGATAAGAAGCGCGAAGTGAGCTTGCTGATGCCGGCAAGTCGAACAAACGATACAAGCGCGCCATATTACCTTACGGAGGAGTAAGATGTCATGATGTCGGTTCAATTGTAAGTACGGTACTCCATAGTTAAGGAGGTGACACATTTTATGTAGGCAGTGAAACGAGGTTTACAAAATTTAGCATTTGGCAACATTGTGACACGAAATACGACTGGTACGGATACGTGAAGCTAGGACGCGCTGTGGATTTGAGCCACCAATCATCTGCAAAGAATTGCTGCTATATTACGTGTATACACGAGCTCGCCAGCATGTTAAACATGCCCAGTTTCAAGAGATTACCAGCCCTCTTCGCCAACAAGTTCTACCATTTTATAAACAAGAAGCGTTGCTTGAGAGAGGGGGGGGGGACGTGCGGAACACAAAGTGCCGCCCCCACAGGCGGATGGAAGTTTTTAGAAGCTTCCACAGTACATTAGTTGTGTCCAATTTAATTGACTTAATATATCATACTACATCCTAGTCAATTCTTGACCAATTCCTATTGGCTATAATACTGACTACAGATTTTCGCTATAGGCCACTACCAACACATTAACTTGCCCTTCCCCCGGCTCACGCTCGCCAAAGTGATCGGAGCTGTTAATAAACAGTATTGGGTTTATTCCCTCGAAGCTGTGCAAAAGTACAAACTCATCACGCGTCACACTAGCAACGCTTGACCAATTTAACCAAACACCGTCATGTTTTGCCAGGAAGAGCTGCAATGTCGGCCAAGGAGCCGCTTTTGCTCCACCGCTTTTTGTTTTAATCGCCTTCGTAAGCTCAGTCACCTTGTTGCCAGCCCTGATAGCTACATTGAACCCGCTTTCTTCCTGGCCAACGACCCAGCAAAATAACAAAAGCTCCACCATCGTCCCTTCTTAAAACTCAAATTCACGATGTTCTAGATGTCTCTGAGAATTCTGAATTCCATTACGTTTTTCAGGAATACAGAAATTGCAATATTAAAATGCAATTTTAATTGCCAAAAGTCTGATGGGGACATCTAAAATAATACAATTGCTCGTCGAAATTGCATTTCTAAATATTCAACTCGGGGGCACTTCGTGGACGATGTGCGAGAGCGTCAATCCTGCGAAGACAAGAGGAGTAACTCGGGCAACCAGCCGTCCGGCCAGGACAGACCCGCCAAGGGAAATATATTTATAGGAAGAGGTCGATTCAAGCCGAAGTCGGATGCCAAGCGCACCGAGAGCCGTACCTGCCATTTCTGTATGAAGCCTGACCATATCAAGGCCAACGGCTTTGCCTGGAAGAACCAACATGATCAGCAAGGAAACGAGCAACCATGTCAGTGAGTGAGGGTCCTGATGTGGCCAAGAATGTAGCTGGAGCACATGAGATCGCGAATATCAGCCTTAATGTTCTGTGTGAAAGTTCTCGTTGTTCTCGGTAACAGAAGAGATCAATGTGCGGTCGAAGTTCGTCCACTCAGCGTATGCTGCTGGAGCTACCACAATCTACGTGTCGAAACGTTGGGTCGAGCAGCATCAGCTGCAGACAGCGAAGCTCGACGATAAGAACATCCGCATTCAGCTTCGATGCTACCAGATCATCGAGGCGGAGCTGGAAATTCTACATCTTGATGTCACGGTGTCTGGATTACAGAAGACGTACGCGTGTATCGCTGTCGTGTATGAGATCCCCTCCGAATTCGACTGCAGCCTTGGAATCCCGTTCTTCGAGGACATGCATACGCAGATCAATTGGAGACGTTGGCGAATTGAAGGAACTCTAATGAAGACCGGAACGAACAGGCGAGGCCTACTGGCCGATCGAGAAAGGCGGACCGGAGATTGCTTCCGGGATTCGGAGATCTGTCGAGGCCTTTCAGCGAAAAGACCTCATCCCTGTCGAGGGGCCGCGCTGGAAACGGATGTGAAGCTGGCCAGACCTGCTCTTGACCAAGCGCAGGAAGAACCCCCAAGTGCTGTTCGCGAACAACGAGAAGCCGCGCCAGCCGGCAAGGGTTCGGCAGCAAAAGATGGTGAGAAATCATCGGGAGGGTACTAGTAGAGAAGCTCAGGATAGCAACAGCACCCGTTGAAAGGACAGCGTCATGGAGAAGATGTTCACGATGGGTGTCGTAGACGAGAGTGGTGTGCAGACGAAGTACATCACCTGCAAGAAACGTCGAAAGTTCCTGAGAATCAAGACCAAGCCAGCAAAAGAACCAGACTTCATGCTGGTGCTGACGAACGAGATTATCAAGCAAGTAGCACGCTCACTTCAACGGCGCCACCAACCCGACAACGTAACCAGTGCGAAAGCACAACGATATCTAAAGACAGAATGAGAAACGTTTCGGGAAAACCCCAGCTTTCAACCTTTTCTTGAGGTACAAGAACAACGTGTTCCGTCCTGAACTCCCGGAGGGACTACCAGAGACGAGATATCAAGCACCATGATGTGAAGAATGCAAACATCGATGTATCGACAGAAATGGCGGCAGTCTCCAGAGCAGCAACGTGAAATCGTACGTTGGGTTGAAACCATGGTGAAGAAGAAGCTGATTCGGCCCTGTATAGGCCCACATGCTGCATCTACATTCTGCGTGCGGGAACCGGTTGGTTGGCGAATCTTGCATGACTACCAGTATCTGAACTCAAACAGAGCTCGCCAAAGTATTCCGATGACCCTAAAAGAATACATATTGGGTGCTATGTCGGGGATGTACGGGTTCTCCACGATGGACATGATGTCGGCGTACTATCGAAAGCGTATGCGTGAGGAAGACATTATGTTCACCGCGTTCCAGGCGCCGAACGGATAATGGGAATACCTTGTCTCATCCATGGGAGTCTGTTACGCGCCGGCGACGATGCATCGGCTGACGTCGAAGCTCTTTCGAGGATTAGAGAATACGAAATCGTTTTCGACGACATCTATAGGTCCACGAAGAAGCGAAGCATCGAAGATCACTTGGAAGCGCTGCGCAAGACCCTTAGTATATTGCGCGACAACAAGCTGACGTGAAGCTGTCAAAGTGTGTCTTCTGTGCGGAGGCGATCCCGTGTCTTGGTTACTTCGTTAGACACAGTGGTGTATGTTTGGACCCAGACAAAGTGTAGACGATGAAGAATTGGCCAGTACCACGGACCCAAGAAGAGCTTCACAGCTTTCTCGGACTAATTGGCTACGTTCAGCGCTTCTGTTCGGAGTATGCGTCGCTGACGGCTACCATATTCACTCTCCTCAAAAGAAAGATAAGCGTAACGGGAAGATCCACTTCAATTACGAGCAGCTAAATAACTTTAAGGAGTTAAAGCGATGGCTGTGCTGCCCATCCGTGCTGCATATGCCTGACTTCAGCCAGCTCATGCGCCTTCGTACGGACGCCAGAAAATTTGTGGTCGTCGGTGTACTGTTCAGATCGGTCGATGGTGTCGAGCGTCCAATTGCGTATACCAGCAGGAAGATGAAATCGGCGGAGCTCAGCTACTCAAAGCTGCAGCAAGAGCTCTTAGCAATCGTCCATGCACTGTCGGCTTGTTGTATCTACTGCCTGGACAAACCTCCAATCGTTGAGACCGATGACAGGAGTCTAGAAGGTCTCTTCAAGCAGACGATGGCTGATCGTCGACTTGCACGCTGGTACGACATCATCGCGGAGTATCAGCCGACGTTCATGTATCTTCCGGGTGCGAAGAACGGCATAGTCGACGCGTTAAGCCGGAGACCTGAACTTCAACCGGAGACAAAGTTCTTTCACGACTTGAGTGTGACCAGCCTCGATGATACGTCTCTAAGCTTGGCGATCAGCGAAATTACTATGAACTCCGATCTAGCTACGGTATCAAGAAAGCGTACAAGAAGGGTCCTGATGTACAAGCCATTTTCGTGGCCTTCAAGCGCCATCAAGCGCCGTACAGCCAGCTTGCAGCCCAGGGTTAAAAAACCGTTAGTTCCCTTGTGCTGTAGGGTACAGCATAAGCGATGTATACCCTCACAAAAGAAGAGTGGCGACGATGCCTTGAGCAGCGGCTGAGTGAGAGGCACATGCGACGAAATCGGCGGGCAGATAGAAAGACGAGTGCGAAGGATGATGGTCATCAGAAGAAAAAAACCAGAAAGAAGGCAGCCATGGAGGTAGCCCCAGAACAAAGGATCATCACCGGACCGTGGTCCCTCTGGTGGTGATCAGGAGTGTACGGGAGATGCCGAAGAGAAGGCAAGAGCCTCTGGAGAAGCTTTTGACGCCATGGAGACAGCACCATCAGCGCAGATGGCGTCCCATTTGTCAGAAGATCGTGCTCACCACGCCGCGGTTGCTGCAGTAGTTGATGACATCGTCGACTATGCTGAAACTACGGAGGCCGCGACTCCAGTGAGGCCAATGACAAGTACTGAGGACGCTCCTCATCCAGTCAGGACCAGGTCGCCACTTGCCAGCGAACATGCGTCAAGAAAGCGGCGCCATGCTATCCTGTAGGATGACAGCGACAGTGACGGCGACAGCGACAACGAGATGAGTTATGTTGGCATCGATCAGCATAAGGACGCACATGAATAGTAATATTCAGCTTATCACCAACACAAGAGCGTCTACAGATATTGTGAGCAGGGACCTGCCAGTAAAAAAAGCGCGACGGACGGAGGCGCTGCCTACGCGATTCGAGGATGTGTCGTGGATGCCGATCCAAATTTAATGGAAGGTGGAGCAGATAGGTGTACTGGTCTCAATTCAGACGAGGCCACTGAAGTACAGAAAGAACCGGAAGAGGAAGGGGACGCAGACGACGAGCCGTGGAACGGAGACTGGGATCTCAGCGATCTCAGTGACAAAGAGGACGAGATGGTGCACGAAGAGCTCCCCGACTCAATTTGGGCGTCAGTTGCGAAGGACAACGATCTCATGAAGGAAATGCGGCACAGTGGATGGGAATATGGTAAGTTATGTTGTTCATATAACATATGAACGAAATGTTTTCCCTTCGCTCAACATAAGAGCTAACATAACTATTGTATATTGTATTTGTGTGTGTAGATCCGAGAAATTTGGATCTGACCCGACCTACAATGATCTTTTTATGGTGAATTCGGTCCAAGTGAGAGTGTTCTCAGCGTTGCCGAAATTCCACTTGCTCTCCTGTTCTATTTTATGCCACCGAAGCTGTGGTCTCAGATGGCTGTAGAAAGTAGCCGATATCGGGAGCAGGCGGCACCTGCACGAGCGCGAGAAGTTCGGATGCAACAGCGACGACGTGGAGGCGAAGTTGAAGAGCTTGAAGAGATCCGTCGTCGCTTGGCAAATGCCTCTGATATCATACCACACGAGATTCTACGCGTCATGACCCTCCTCATCACGAGGATGTTGGTGCCAATTCGGAAAGGTATTGCAACACATTGGTCAACGAGGCAGGTGGGCGCACTGCCTTCCAACCGTTTTGGGTAGTTCATGGCTAAGCACCGCTTTCTTCCACATTATAAGGCACTTACATTTTTCAAACAACAAGTCGCCTCAAGCCCGCCAAGACTGGATGTGGAAAATACGACCTGTTGTGAACGTGCTACAACGTACATTTGCGCGTGGATACAAACTACCGCCAGTGATCAGCTTTGACGAGGCCACGCTTCCGTCGCGTTCTCGATACAAGCCTACACGACAGTTCAACAAGGACAAGCCTCATCGTTGAAGGGCGAAGGTATTCGTCGCTGCATGCGCGAAAATGGCGTTTTGCATGATGTGGGTGTTCAATGTTTCGTGGCAAGCTTCGGCGTGTCACAATTGCTTTTGGATCATGTGCTTATGTTGTCTTTAGGCAGCATTACTTACTCTAGTCTGGATGCAGCGCTACAGTGTGCAGTTGTCGTACAAGTCGCGCAAATACTACCGGACTTTGCTCCTGGGGCTATTCGACATGTCCTTCGTAAACGCTTTCATCATGTATCGCTACCACAGAAAGGTGAGCGGCAAGAGGCCGCCGAAGCACTTTGCTTTTTCGAAGAGCTGGTGGAGCTGTTGCTGGCGATCGATTCCGCCGAGACCTTTAGAGTCATCGAGGGAAAAGCTTGTGTTGACTACCTTGTCTACATAAGCAGAACGAACACGCAGCTTACATTGTTACTAATGTTGCTACAATGTGTCAAACAGGAAGCAACAAATGCGCGTGAGCGGACGGCACCATCACCAGCAAGGGAAGGAGCGACTTCACGAGCGGAAAGTGACCCTGTTGTTGACGGAGATCACCGTCTCGAAGAGAATCCGGACACTGTTGAAGACGAGAAGGGTGTGAAGCGGCGCCAACGGTCATGCAAGATGTGCGCCCTCTATAAGATCCGTCCCAGGAAGTTCACTAAGTATTATCGTCCAGAATGCTCCAATGAAAACCGGTGCGTGCAGCGCGAGCTAGACGTCTAGCTAGCAATCTAACGTGGATGGTGTTACAGGATATACTTATGCAATGTTGGAAGAGATGGAAGGGATACCTGCTTTCCCATCTGGCACACCGAGTGGAAGTATGGGAACTAGATTCCCCCAGCGCTTCTGCTGGCGCACAGGACGCGCGAGCGTCCACCTGCATCGCGTCCAGGTAAGACGCGAAGGAGGAATTTGCAGGAGGAGGACGACGGTAGTGTGAACGAAGACGGCGGCAACGCCAATAACAGTGAAGGTGACGACGAAGATAGAGAGGCAGGCACAGCCGTGTATCTATAGGTATCTGTGCAATCTACGTCGACTCTACAACATGCAATCAATTGAAACCGTTATTTGGATTTTACACCATTGGCCATTATAAAACAATTCGTAGGTGTTGCTCTGTACCTGCAGCAGCTGGACGTGGGCAATGCTGCAAAATACGGCCTTTCCGATACACAGTACAGCTTTTATGTTGGTCAAGGGGGCATTAGCAATTTCGTTGACTCATTTTATTTACCTAAGACGACTTTATGCTGGAGAAGCCTTCGCTATACCCACCGGTCTTGCGACTGCGAGCCATGCAGATGGAACAAGCCGCGCTTGACTTAACCTCCAGGCTTGCCTGAACCCCTCGCCATACCCGACGAGCGATGGAGATCGATTTCAATGGACTTCATCACGATCTACCAAGGACCAAGAATGAAGTAGATTCCATCCGGGTTGTCGTTGCTAGACTCACGGAGCGGTGCCACTTCGTGCCAACTACGAAGACATTGACGTCGAAACGTGTAGCTCAACTCTTCTGAATCACATCAGAAAACTTCACATGCCAACAAACATTGTGTCCGATCGGAATCAAAAATTCGTGTCCTCGTTTTGACAACACGTCTTCAAGTCGATCGGAACAAAGCTTAGTATGCCGGCTGCGCATCGAGTCCAAGGAGATGGTCAAACAAAGCGCATATCGAAGTATGGAAGAGTATCTTCACTGATTCGTTGGACCTTTGCAGGACAATTGGTATGCCCATCTGGCCAGCGCTGAGTTTGTGATCAACTCACTGTCAACCCGAGCACGAAACTTGCACCATTCAAAGCGGATCATAGAAACATTCCGTTAAAAACCCTTCAGCTTGCTGCGGAGCAGCTCGAAAATATTCCAAAGAATCGGAATGAATCGCATTTTCACGAACGCCAAGTCGCGATTCTACTTCAATCGGGAAAATCTATCAGAAGCACGGGAGAGGATGCGCGATATCTACGACCGGAATCGAACGGAACAAGTTTTGACGTTGGAGATCGAGTGTATCTGAGTACGAAACACCTGGATCCCAGATACACCGGACTTCCGAACTCTACCAAGTTTGATTTAAAATGAATGGGTCCGTATACTGTCGTGAAAAAAAATCATAACCACGCGTACGATATCAACATTCAGACTGGCATCCAGTTTTAACACTGGTTCTTTTAAACCGTACAAGGATCCCACCCGGCTCTCGCGACCAAACGATGTCATTCTCGCGGATGGCACTGGTGACCAGCTTGTACGACGTTTGCTAGGCAAGCGAACTCGAAAGCGACGTAGCGAATTCCTTGTGGAATGGGTGGTTGAAGAGAAGCCTACGTGGGTGCCTATCAAAAACCTTGGACAAGTACCAGAATTGGTCGCTAGTCTTGAAGAGCAGCGCCGTATCAAACGTAGCCGAAGAACATGGAATCAACAAAGGGGCTCGAGGCCAGCATGTATTGACCTCATGATCTCGCTATTTGCGGCTGAGTTTCGGAGTCTTTCTAGTCTTTTTATTTTTCCATTTGCACGAACGCTTGAAAGGCAATGCGATGCTGTACATCGCGTACATCTTCGTGATCTAGCCCAATATGGTCAGCGGCTCCAAGAGAATCGGCGGGTTGTCCGATTCACGGTAACCGTTGTAAATAATAGCCGGATCGCTTGGACCGCGGACAATCGAGGTGAAGCAGTGCTTCACGAGGCCATCAGCCGCGTAGACGATGTAATATCCAGAGGGCAGACTTCGAGCCGATTTCTCCATGAGAGCAGCCGACGGCATCGATACATTCTGGTACACCTTGAACAGCTCCACGTATTCGAGAAGAACCTTTTCAGCACGGATGAAGTTGAAGAAGGAGTTGGTGTCTCGAGCCACGACACCGTCGTCGAAGGTCTTGCCTTGTTGCTGGTAGAATCGCTCCCATAGACCGGTGTTGGACAATCCGGGACGACCAAGACCGTAACAAACTTCTTATAATACATGCAAGAAGCAGCGGTGGTCGTCCGACTCCCCTGCACCGCGGAAGTACTACCCGTAGAAGGAGTTGAAGGAGAGGTCCGAATTAGCAGCCTTCCACTTGTTCACTTGGCTCATGCATAGTACAAGTGCTTTAAGTTTGCCGGCCGCTCCCAGCTCAGCTGACAAGGCCGGCAGCTCCACTCGACTAGATAGGCGACGTGTGGCGGTTCACCTTGATGATCGATAAGCTTGCGGACAGCGTACACTACCTCCGTATCGACAGGCGCCTCCGGGTCGTAGTGATTCCACCAGCGAGTCGAAGGATGGTGCGCAGGCGGTGTTGGTAAGGGAGGACGCTCGACGATCGTCGTCGACGCACGGATCCAATTGGTAGCGGTGACGGCTCCGTATCGTCGTCCTGCTCCCAGTCTTTCCTGTCATCTGCGGCGCCAGCATCTATAAGCCCCGCGGCGGGCGAAGCCGCACAATAATACGCCACTGGACTTGGAGCAGAAAGTGATGGCGGCGCAGCTAGAAGCGGCAGAGGAAGCGGTACAGGTGCAGCTGGAGCAGCAGGCGACGAAGAAACCACAGGCGACGTCGGCAGGGAAGCCAGCAGAGCATCGAATGACGCGAACTCGGCCACAATAACAGTAGATAGTGGTGTTGGCGGTACCCACGGAGTGTCGAGCTCGAGCGGGGGCTCCGAACCAGCAGGAAGAAACTCCGAGAGCTCTGCGAGAGTAATCCCCCAAGATCACGATGCGCGAGCACTGCGGGAGCCGAGGAAGGAGACGTAGCGGGAGGACTCAGAAAATCAGCCGCCGCGATGAGATCAGGCACAAGGCCGAAGTCGGGATCTGCCGCCACTCTTCCTTGGAGCGGCGGCACCGACGCCTTCTCTGAGGCAGCCTGCTGGACCATGGCGATGAATAGCGGAAGTCTATCAGCGGGACCTACGCCTTCCATACCAGGCGCTGCTAGAAGCCGAAGCTTCCGTGAAAACCATAGTACTCTGGCGCTAGTCCCAAACAACCGAACCGGAAAGCCACTTGTGACACAAGTAAGCTCTCAGGGAGAGTGTATCAAGAATCTGAGTGGTTAGTATTATAGCCAATAGGAAGTAGTCGAGAATTGACTCGGATATAATAAGTCATTTTAAGTCTTTCAAATACGACACAAGAACTGTAGGGGCGGCACTTTGTGTTTCGCCCAAGCCACGCTTCTTATTGATATATGGAGTGCCCCACGTTTCCAAAACATGATTCTGCCCCCGTGGTGGACGAAGGTTCGTGCACCGTGCCCTACTCTTTGCTTTGACACGAGGAATTCCGCTATTCGGATTCCGAGAGTGTATGCTGATGGCAGTGGACTTCATGTTCCGGATAATGGGCTAGTGTTGTTTTAGCGGCACGAGGTTCGACAACAATAAGAGACACTTTGGACTGCTATAGTGCTATCGTACACAGTGTTGTGGATTGTTGGTCCACCTGGAGCAGGGAAATCATGTGCAGCGTTTGCATTTGCCTGCTCTCTGAAGCGAGTTGCCGACAATCTACCAAACTCGCAGCGTAAGGAAACGCGGAATGTACTGTGGGTTCACTGCTCAAAAATGTTCGGATCGCCGTGGTTTTGCATCCTGTTTTGCGGAAAGGATAAGAAGAAAACGTGTACCATAAAGGCAAAGCAATTGGAAGCCGCCTTGGAGTCGTTGAGTGATTATCAGGGAACCCAAAATAAATTATATGCATAAAAATTAATCCTATTTTTTTAATTTAATTATTAATTTATGGCGGTCAACAACGGCAACTTTAGTGAACAACCCTAATTTAGAGCAAGGTCTAGTCAAGTTACAGTGTGGGGCGCGCTAAACGTCGCGGAAAAAATTAGCCTGCGCTGAATTTATGTAACGGGGTACGTAGCCCTAAGTGTACCCTGGTTACATGAAGTGTGACACTTCACACTTCAGGAGTATGACACGTCATACTCCGAGATATTTGGTACAAGGTACCAAGGTCGTTCAAAGCCAACCATTGGTTAAATGACATTGCATTTCTATAGGTAACTAACAGTTTGTATTAAACCCAAACTTAATCTACCTATAAATATACTCAGTTTACAATCTACCTTATTTGGGTCACTTCGCTCTCTTTAATAAAAGAGGGGACCTGTGAACTGCCGTTCACTGAGAGTTTGTATACTCTCGGAAGATAACTTCCTCTTGCGCAAGGTGCTGTGTGACCCCGTCACACTTGGTAGCACTAGTAGTCAATCCACGCCACCGCGGGTAGACTACCTGAACCTCTCCGAAGTTCGTTGCCATGGATAGGAACGACTTCTCCCATTTGAACGACTCTCAGTTCGAGTCGGTTCGGAAGATGGTAGGCATCTTCGGGATGGAGGCCCTGCAGAGCCTGGTGGTGTCAACACCGGCTGAGCAGCTCGAGCGCGTCAATGCATTCGACGCGTACGAGCAGGGCCTCATCGCGCATGTGCGGAAGAACCTGCAGGCTCCGGCGGCGGAAGCAAATCCGCCTCACCCGAAGCCAATACGGCTGAAGGTAAAGCCGTATGAAGGGAAGGAAGGCGAGAACCTTCACTTCTGGGTCCGAGAAGTAGAGCTCGCGATGGACGCGGCTCTGATCTCGACCGAGCAACTGCGTGTTGCTTTTGCACTCTCCAACCTTAGCGGTCGTGCTAAGAGTTGGGTGTACACTCGGGAAGCGACATCCCCTGGATGTTTCACATCCTGGGCTCAGCTGTGCGAACAGCTCCGAGCCGCGTTCCTCCCGGCGAACTACGAGTACCGCCAGCGTTCGCGCTTCCTCGCGTGTAAACAAGGAAGACGCGAACTGCACGAGTATGTGCAAGAGATACGGGAGCTCACGGCGTCCCTAGTGGGAAACCCACTCAACGAACACATCAAGATGACTGTGTTCATGGACGGCCTTCGAGTGGGCCCCGCGCGCACTCAGCTATTCCAGGTGCAGTCAAGCACCCTTGAAGAGGCGATTCAAGTGGCTCTTCAAGAAGAGTACAGCCATCGCCAGGCGCGTACGCCGGCCTCAGCGTGGCCTGGGAGCTCCTTGTCATTTCCCGGTCGAGCAAGCCTCAACGGACCAGTTCCCATGGAACTCGGGTCCGCCGAACAGCGTGACATCCGCTGCTTCGGCTGTGGGAAGATGGACCACTTCAAGCGCGACTACCCCGCGGAAAGACTCCGCAGACGGTCCTTCCCCAAGCCCGTCCTCAAGGGTCGCTGGCAAAAGCCAGGATCCCGGGGACAGGGGAACGCAGGGAACCAGTAGGGGCGGGGCGCCCTACTGGGGAAGAACTAAGTCTTCGTGATGGGTGCGCGGGTGGCGCGTACCACGGGGACTTAGCCCCTGAGAGTTTTCGCACTCTCGAATCGGCGAAGAGCAGCGGCGGGTTGCTCGTAGTACACGGATGTGTACGGGGATACGATCATCCCTTTAGAATCTTGATTGACTCTGGGGCGTCGAAGAATTTCGCACGCCGCCAGACGGTTGCTCGTAACAGCAACAAGCTGTGCGAAGCTTTGAGAGAAAGCAAGGGCAATGGGACGGTGTCAGTGCGACTGGCCGACGGGAAGGTCGTCACTGTCCCCAACGTCCAACTGGATCTGGCTGTCAAGTTTGAAGACTTTGACAGCCTCGAACAGTTCACTGTTCTCGATATGGATCCATATGATATGATCCTGGGCATGCCCTGGCTTGAGAAGCACGAGCCCTGGATCGACTGGCGAGGCAAGGCAATTGGTGCCAGCCGCCCTGCGCAGCCCGACAGAGCATTGGTGAGTCATGTTCCCACCTCTGTCAGGACCCGGGGCGCCCGCGAGGGCTGCCAGGGTACCAAAGCATCCTGAAGATGCTTGGGAGTCGTCGACGTATATGACGACTCCAAGGATGTTTTGATGGTGGCCGCGCCCAGAAGAGGCGTCGGCCAAGTGGGTAACTTAGGTCCACAGGCGGGTAACTTAGTTCCGCAGACAGCTGCAGCTGTCATGAACACTGAGAACAGCGTGTTCAGAGTGGGTAACAGAGTTTCACTCACGGTCGCCCAGACCTTAACTGAAGAGGAAGACGTCGGATACGCTTCCTGTGTGGGTAACACAGTGCCACACGCGGTCGCCCAGACCTTAACTGAAGAGGAAGGCGTTGAACACGCTTCCTGTGTGGGTAACACAGTGCCACACGCGGTCGCCCAGACCTTAACTGAAGAGGAAGGCGTTGAACACGCTGTTTGTGTGGGTACAACAGTATCACACGAGGCCACGAGTGCCCCGGATGTCGTAGCGACGACATCCCTAGACGTAGGCAGCAAAGCTCCCCGTCACAGACGCCGTCGGCAAAGACACCGCCGCCGCCTCAAGTCGGATCCGAACTTCGTTCCGATCGACGTCGCTTCAAGCGACTCGGAGTCCAGGGCCCGGGCTCCTCCGACAAGGCCGGTGGAAGAGTGTTATCACATCTTCGATGGCGAGACAGGTTTACCCGTCAAGGCATCTGGTGTCCACGTGGAACCGTTGCCAGAGGTTGCGGAGATACTGAACCTCGAGGAAATGACGGCTGAGTCTTTCCTGGCCAACCTCAAGGCTGGAGAGATTGCTGAGATGGTACTCATGAGACCTGAGACCACCCAGGAGGAGCTGAACTCCTCCTCTGTCTTGGACGAGAACGTCCTGGAAGACATGAACAAGCAGCGTCAGGCGCGCTTGGGTTTTGAGATTCTCAAGAACCTTAAGGATCAGGTGTATCCTTTGGTGACGGAGTATGCGGACGTGGTGAACAAACACCCACCGACCCAACTCCCACCGGATCGAGGCGTACGGCACGAGATTGATCTCGTGCCCGGCACAAAGTATTGTGTCACGAGGCAATGGCCTCTCCCGCGCGAACAGTGCGAGGTCATTGATGCCTTCTTCGCCGCGAAAGCGAAGGCAGGCATGGTGCGGGAATCGAAATCCCCGCACTCGACGCCGACTTTCTGCGTTCGGAAGCCGAACGGAAAGTGGCGTCTGGTTCACGCTTATAACAAGCTGAACAACGCAACGGTGCCGGCCCAAACACCGATTCCACGAAAGGATGTGTTGTTGAACAACATGGCCGGGAGTGTACTGTACAGTGCGCTGGATTTGGTATTCGGATACTACCAAATCCTGATGCGAGAGAGTGACATCCCGCTCACCGCGGTAAGCACTCTAAGCGGCATGCTTTGGGAGTGGCTCGTCATGCCGCAGGGCATGCTAACGCCTCGGCGACGTTCAATCGCCTGGTGACGCAATTGTTCCGCCCTTTGCGTACCTTCGTACAGACGTACTTCGACGACATATTCGTCCATAGCCGTGCCGAGGGAGGCAAGACGGCCATGGAGGTGCATCTAGGACACCTCCGTCGAGTGTTGGACGTGATGCGAGCGAACAAGCTGTACACCAACATCGACAAGTGCGTTTTCGCGTCACCAGAGATTAAAGTTCTCGGTTGCTTCGTCAGCAACGTGGGCGTTCGGGCTGACCCAGACAATGTTAAGGCCATAGCAGCATGGCCAGCGCCCCGATCATAGAAGGATCTTCGAAAGTGGTTGGGCTTGGCCAACTACCTTCACAAGTACAGCGCAGGGTACGCGGGCTTTGCTAAGCCCTTGTCGGGCCTCCTTCAGAAGGACGTCGACTGGCGCTGGGACCAAGAGCGCCAGGATGCTTTTGACAGTATCAAGGCCAGTCTCCAAGTGGCCCCTGTCCTGGCTCTGCCGGACGAGACGAAGCCGTTTAGCGTCGTCTGCGATGCCTCCGATTACGCCATCGGGTGTGCATTGCTGCAGGACGACACGGCTGGACAGGAACGAGTCATCTCGTTCCAGTCCCGGCAGCTCAAAGCCGCCGAGCGGAACTACCCTGTCCATGACAAGGAGCTCCTGGCAATGAAATATACCCTTGTGAAGTTCCGTGT